AGGAATATGTAGACACTTGTGTAATATGTCAAAAGACAAAACACAAGAGAGGAAAAACACAACCACCATTACAACTATTAAAAATTCCAACAGGACCCTAGAAACATGTTACAGCAGATTTTATAACAGGATTACTAATTACACAAACTGGTAAAGATGTAGTACTAATAATTGTAGACAGATTTTTAAAGATAGGAATCTTTATCCCTTGTAAAAAGGAAATAGATTCTAAAGAAACAGTAAAGTTATTCATACAACATGTTTTCTCAAAACATGGATTACCTTTGAAAATAACTACAGATAGAGGACTACAATTTGCTAGTAACTTTACTAAGCAAATATGTGTACAGTTAGGTATTAAACAAGTATTATCAACTGCTTACTATCCAGAAACAGATGGACAAACAGAGAGAGTAAATCAGGAATTAGAACAATATCTAAGGTGTTATGTTAATTACAGACAAGAAGATTGAGAGGAGTTTATCCTAACAGCAGAATTTGCCTATAATAATAAGTAACACTCTGCTACCAAACATACACCCTTTTACCTGATATATGAAAGACATTCTAACATGACTTTCAATTATAGAAAGTCAAATGTGGAAGAAGCAAACAAATACTTAGAGGAGATAAAGATAGTACAAGCAAATGCTAAGGAAGCAATAGAGAAATCACAGGAACAAATGAAAAAGTATACTGACAAACACAGAGGAAATCTTCCAGAATTAAAGGAAGGGGATTTTGTTTTACTAGATAGTAAAAACTTAAATCTAGTAGTACTAACTAGAAAGTTGGCAAACAGGTATATAGGACCATTTGAAATAGAAAAACAAATGGGGGTAGTAAATTACAAGTTAAAACTACTAGAAGGGATGAATATTCATTCAGTTTTCTACTCAGAATTGTTAATACCTTATAAAGAAAAGGAATACCTAGGAAGACAAGTGTATACTAATCCAGACCCAGAGTTAATTAACAAGGAATAGGAATACACAGTAGAAAACATTTTAGATAGTAGGAAGAGGAGGAACAAATATTAATATTTAATCAAATGGTTAGGCTATCCAGACATAAATAATACTTGGGAACCATTTGGAAAAGGATTAACTAATTCAGCAAAGTTAATCAGGGAATTTCACATAAATCATT